TATCCTTCCATTAAAAATTATCGGGAAATAGTTCTCAGTTTAGTTTAGACTAATTCTTTCCCTCTATTTAGGCAAGACCCTTGAATATACTCTGCCCATACCCTATGAACATGAGGTTGCCTAGCTGAACTCCGGAGAAAGGCACCATTTTATGTCCATTGTGAGTGCCAGATACTGTTACTTCTAATCCTTGGGCCAATTTTTCCCATCCATGGGTAGTTTTCTCACATGCAGGTATTTATCACTAACCAGATGAAGACTTGAGGGGGTCCTCAGCAGTTTTCCAGGTTCTCTCTCTTTGCAGACCTCTCCTCTTTTCCTGCCCTGTGATCTGTAGTCACTTTGGTCTCCCAAGTCTTTCTACTCAATTCAGAGTCCACTAGCATCCACCTCACCTCCCCATTCCTAACCTGTGATGGGGGAGATCTCTTAGGACATTAGTTGGACAACCTTTAGAGATGGTCTCATTTATTTCCCATCTCTCAAGAACAACTGTCCTTCATTGCCTGATAGCCTATGTCTTGAAAACCATTGAGTCATACATTTTTGTCCTTTTTTGATTATGGCAAGGGGTTAAATTCAGACCTTTCTAATTCATCTTGAGCAGAAGCAGGTATCTCTTTCATACATAAAATATTATTTTAGAGGACCAGCAGGTGGTGTGGTGGTTAAGGCACTGGACACTCTCACATGGCCAACCACAGTTCGAGTCCTTGACCTGGTGGTTTGCTATCTCATTTTTCCTCTCTCTCTCTCTCTCTCTCTGGTCAAATATTTTTACTAGGCTGGTTGGTTTCTTATGACTTAGTTAAAGAGTTTTTATAAATTCTGGATGCATGCCTATATATCAGTATGTGATGCATTTATAATCTATTCATGAGTATTTATATTCTTAATGAATTGAATCTTCAATTAAATGATTTTTATTCTTCCTTTATTTTCATCCTGAAGTCCCAATTGTTTGATATTAATGCATTCACAATGTAGTCACTCCAGATTTATTTTGAATAGATTTAACATAATGTACTTTTTGTAGCTTTACTTTTAAACTTTTTCTATATTTAAAGGGTATTTCTTTAATACAACAGATTTTTTTTTCTAAACTGATCATCTCTATCTTTTTTTAAGAGAAAGAGAGTTTTTCTATAGGTTATGTGCTCTTGCTGGAGAGACACAGAGAGACAGACAGAAAGCGAGAAATCACTCCCAGTGGGTATGAACACTCTGCTCTCCCTATTCCTCCATTCTCCTCTCAGGATTTTGGGTACATATGTACAAGCAACTGGCATGAGTTTCAAGTCAATAGTCTGGTTCTTGAACTACAGTTAGCCATGTGAGAGTCCAGTGATGTAGCCATTATATCATCTGCTGATCCCAATCCTCCCTATCTTTTAATTAAAATACCTAGAACATTTATATTTAGTGTAATTATTGACATAATTGGTTTTTAACTAGCCATCTTGATACTTGTTTGTACTTGTCCTGTAGAGTTTGTTTTTCCTTTTGGTCTGCCTTATTTTGGATTGACTATTTTTTATAATTGTACTCTTTTCAATGTTCTATGGCTATATTTTATATGTGTATTACATGAAAATCTATAAAAGTGTTATAGAAACATCACAGTTCATTAATTTTTATGTTTTTTTAAGGTGTATGGTATGTATTTTAATCTTCTATATCAAACATCTGCGATATTTTGCCACTTTACATACTGAAAGAATCCTACAATAGTATTTCTGTTTTCCTTTCCTGACCTTTCTACTATAGTTGTCATACATTATGCACATAAAGATGTGAAAAAACATCATAATACTTTGATACATTGGGTGCTATCAGTTTATTTATATAAATATCTTTCATCTTATTTCTGGCAAACAGTTATCCTTCCATTAAAAATTATCGGGAAATAGTTCTCAGTTTAGTTTAGACTAATTCTTTCCCTCTATTTAGGCAAGACCCTTGAATATACTCTGCCCATACCCTATGAACATGAGGTTGCCTAGCTGAACTCCGGAGAAAGGCACCATTTTATGTCCATTGTGAGTGCCAGATACTGTTACTTCTAATCCTTGGGCCAATTTTTCCCATCCATGGGTAGTTTTCTCACATGCAGGTATTTATCACTAACCAGATGAAGACTTGAGGGGGTCCTCAGCAGTTTTCCAGGTTCTCTCTCTTTGCAGACCTCTCCTCTTTTCCTGCCCTGTGATCTGTAGTCACTTTGGTCTCCCAAGTCTTTCTACTCAATTCAGAGTCCACTAGCATCCACCTCACCTCCCCATTCCTAACCTGTGATGGGGGAGATCTCTTAGGACATTAGTTGGACAACCTTTAGAGATGGTCTCATTTATTTCCCATCTCTCAAGAACAACTGTCCTTCATTGCCTGATAGCCTATGTCTTGAAAACCATTGAGTCATACATTTTTGTCCTTTTTTGATTATGGCAAGGGGTTAAATTCAGACCTTTCTAATTCATCTTGAGCAGAAGCAGGTATCTCTTTCATACATAAAATATTATTTTAGAGGACCAGCAGGTGGTGTGGTGGTTAAGGCACTGGACACTCTCACATGGCCAACCACAGTTCGAGTCCTTGACCTGGTGGTTTGCTATCTCATTTTTCCTCTCTCTCTCTCTCTCTCTCTGGTCAAATTAAAAATGTGAATGAATAAATGCAATTAAATAAATAATTCTTTAAAAATTATTTTAATAATTTCGTACTCATGTACTGAAAAGTCCCCTTTCATCCAAATTGTGTACTCCAGCCCCACACCCACCCACCAAATACAAACCAAGTAATAGATTGTGAGCTGAGTGCTGAGTGCAATATGAGATGTAGATTTGGTGGCACAAAGTTCACCTCACATGGTCTGGTATGAGATGAAAAAGACATTTGTTCAAAGTCCCCTAGAGAAGGTGACACTCAAATTTTTCTACATAGGGACCAGCAGAAGGTACAATGATTACATTACTAGACTCTCATATGGCTGACTGCAGTTTGAGTCCGAGACTTGGAGGCTTGAAGCGCACGCTGGGTGCATGTACATGTGTGCCCAAAGTCCCAGGAAGAGAATTGAGGAGAAGGGATTGTGCCATGGCTGTCCCCTCTAGGGCGTGATTTCTTGCTTTCTGTCTCTGACTCTGTCTAGTGGTGAGCACGCATGCCCTATAGCAAAAACCTCTCCGACAACATAAATATGTTTTAAACAGTGACAAAGCTAATGATGATTGAGGCAGAGGGAGTAAGAGGCAAAGAGGAAAGTTGTCGAAAGCCTAGTACTACTCTCCAAGGGTTACTTCCTATTAGTAAGACAGCAAAACACAAATTTTACTGCGAGGAAAAAAACACTAAAATAAACAGAGTCATGTAAAGTCTGATATTAGAAAGAAGTTGAGAGGACAGTTCATAGTCATTTAAAATGACTTTTCCTATTTTTGACATTGGAAAGGCCGTTTTTGGTTAATGCTACTCAGCTGAAGATGACCACTTAGTGTCTATGTTGTACTGTTTAAAAGAAGAAAGAAAGAAAAGGAGAAGTAGGAGAAAAAGGAGGAGGGGGTGGTCATAATGCAGGTCATGTAGATCAGAGGAATGAGACTACTTCTCACACATGAGAACTGTTTGCCGTAAGAGCCAATATTTGCACAAAATCTTCGAGTCGTGAAAGACACTGAGCGTGCTTTCCTTAGCCTGGCCCGCGTGCAGGCGGAGCCGCGGACACCCCGGGCACGTGTTCCTGTCACGTCAGTCTAGGGCAGTCTACCTCCTCTCCCATCACACTTCTGCCTCTCCCAGACTTCGCAGATTGTCTGTTAGCGTGGTCGGACCCTCTGAAATAAAATGAGTTCTCCCGGCGGGCGAACGTTCCACTCCCTCCTCGCTTTGCTGTCTCTCTTCTGTGACCATTACCAGATTTTCTCTTGCATCCTGACAGATGAATTCTTTCTGCTTTTCTGATGTTGGTTTACATGATGGTTGCTGTGTGCTTATTCCTTTTATAGAAGCAGGAACAGAAGGGAGCAGGGGAAAGAGTGGCAAGAGAGAGCCCCCGAGTGCATAATAACCCGTGCCCTTCTCGTTCTGTCCCGTTTTCTTTCAATGCCCCTGGTCCCCTGGCATCTAAGGCCCAGAAGAAATGCAGACACATGACACAGGCCCTTACTCCCTTCAGAAAAAAATGTCCCAGGGAGTCACAGTGCAATAATAGGCCTTATTATTCCTTAACATTTAATAAAGCCTGCAGTGATACACGCTGGCAATAAAATAAGCTGGTGTGGTATCTGCTTTGTGGAAAGCTGAAACCCCAAAGCCGGACAGAGTAGGCAAATCATACAGAGAGAGACAAAGGACTGAAGAAAAGAGAGGAGGAAGGATACAGACAGATGGCCCACTCCACGGACAGCTGTTTTTTTCCTCCAAGGTTATTCTTCGGGCTAAGGATGCCAGGAGTCTCAGAAAGGATCTTTTCTTTTCAGTGTTTTTCTTTCTTTGCCTTCTTTATCTTTTCCTTTTTTCTTCCTTTCCTTCTTTTCTATTTGCTTGTTTGTGTTTAATCAAGTTTTGCTATCAACAGTAAATTCAAGTTTTCTTGATCATGTTCACCATTAAGAGGTTTAAATACAAAACTCCTACTTAAAACAACAATCCTGCTTTGATGAAAACATTTCCCAACCCATTCCATTTTACATTTTTCCCATTGGTTTCTAAAATAGGACTGGAAAGTGCTAATAAAGTGTTTTGGAACTCAGAGTTCTTTGTGGTTTTCTAAGTCTCTTAAAAAACAGCTCTCTGCTACTTACTGCCTTATCACCACTAATCAGGGCTTAGGTGTGACTGGAAAGCAGGACTGACACGTGGCGGGAGAGACGCAGAGGCGCAGTCCACAGAGAGCGCAGTGACACCCGGAGTGACGCTCAGGGCAGAGTACCCCTGCACCACGTGGCCTGGGTGTGGGCCAAGTTATTCATCGCTATGGTGACAGAGCTTGTGACAGAGCTTGCGTTGCACCGTTTCCTCATCGACGGGACGGAATGTCAGGCCGTGGGGACTGTGACTGGGAAGTGTGTGAGTGGCTGTCTCGTTCTTTATGGTCTCTCTGTCCTCTGCCCTTCTACCACCGCTTGTGGGCAGACGTCTCAGTAGATGACGACCAAGAGATGACATCATGGAAATGGGCTGGCGGTGACCCACAGCGGAGTTAGAAGGAGGTACACAGAGTGTGCCCAGAGGGACCGGGAGCCACTAGCTCCCGCCAGGGTTGGTTTTGTAATATACACAGTGATTTAATGTAAATAATAATACTAAAAACAAATAAGTCATTTTCTTTTGACACTGAATCCGTGGATTTAATTATCGACTCTGTCCCAGATTTCCATCTGTTCAAAAGAGCATTTTTGTTACTACAGAAGTTGGGATTAACTCGCAGACCGGAGCGCTGACCCGGGTGGTCCTAGACTCCCTCAGGCTGCCAGGAAAAAGCCAAGTTAGGGGCCCAGAAATACACACAGTGCCTTGGGCGACCCTCAAATAGGATGTGAGCGAAAATCATCAAAGGTAACTTTCTAGAAAATCTGACATGATAGGTAATAATTCATTCCTTTGTTAGTTGCTAGTGCATTTTCTTAATTATTTCTTCAAAGGGACATGACTGATTGATATGGCTAGCATGCAACATTTAAGAATTTTTTTAGCAACTGTGGATCCCCGAGGCAGTGTGGGAGGAGGGCAGAAAATGGGGGTGGAGAAGTCAAGGGAAAAAAAAAGAAGCAAAACATTCGACAGATAAAAAAATGGAAAGTCGACTGCTGGTGACAATGTGTGTCACGGTGTGGAATTACTTTGACTGGACAGCGTATTCACGCTGGGGAAATCCGCTTGCAATATTGGAAGCGTGCACAGTGATTGAATGTAGAAGTAAGAAAATAATTTTAAAAAGATTTTGGTAGACATCTCACAAGACTCTTTAAGTAAGCTCATCATTCTTGCTCTATCTCCTCGTTCTAATTTAAGTTCTCTAAAGTTTTTAAGGGATATGGCATTCATTCTCCATTGCCCACCTCGCTGTTCCGGGCTAATTTAATCTCAGCTCCCAACAACCTGTTGTCATAACGGCTACATTTTGATGCTTCAAGCATTACTGTTGCTGTCCTCTTCCCCAGGAGTCCACACTGCTGTGCACCGAAGAGCCCGAGCGCCGGAGTGTTTGCTTTTATGAACCTTGGGACCATCGCAAGTTTACCACGTAGTGAATGTTGGAAATGATCGATTGAGCGATTGCATCAAAGAGGTAAGCTTTCCCTCTGGAATTGGTTACTCAGGAACTCATTGACTTTGGGGTTTTCCCTCCCTCAGGATAATAAAAGAGGAACATGTTATTCTAGATAAAACGAGCACATAATGCATAAACTTGGAAAAAGTTGTTCCTGACGTCCAGTTTGGTGCGGGTGTTAATGGTAGTCTGAGTGCTTGAAGCGCACGATCTAGCAGCTCAGCCTCTCGGCTGCTGTGATGTCACGACTCCTGTAGATGTTACCGAGATTTACCTACGTGTTTAACCCCTTAAATGTGCACTTTACAGCTCTTTTCGCAATTTCAGATTTCGTAGTGTCCTTTTGGAACCCTCCCAGGCACAGCCCGTCCTGAGAGGCAGGTGCATTCCGAGCCCAGTCTCTCCTCCTACGTGTCCCACTTGGTCAGGTTCCGTGTTCTTTTCTAGTAAATCATCTTTGAAAGATGACTGCATTTTAAAAAGAGACTGTTTGACTTTGATAAACTCTGGCACTCTGCATTTCCTATGGTTCTTTGTCTTTTTCCTTGGGCTTGCCCTAGGCAAGGTCTAAGGCTGTCACATTTTGGGGGGGGGGAAGCTTTCCTTCCAATTTGAAATCATTTTTATTTTCGTCATTCAAAAAGAAGCGGCTGCCTTGGGGATAAGTGTCAGAACCGCTGTGAGGGTGATGGGTTGTGCTTCTAGCTTATCTAATCCTTGAAGTAACTTTCCTGTCTCTGCAAGGTTATTTTCTTGTTTGTTGTTTGTTTCGTGGTTTGTAAACTTACATAAATATTCTTAATACTCACTGATACCTGCAGCGAGCGATGTCCTCGCAGCCTGGAGACATTTTTTCGGCCTGTGGAGTGTGTGTTGACTTTTGTGCTCTCTGGTTGGAACACAGCTGTCTTTTGGCTGGTCCAGATCATTTTTTTAGAAGTGTCAATTATCTTATTATGATAAGACTCATGACATTTTAGAGCTATAGTTTAGGAATTTGCAATCTATTCTCTCATCAACTTGTCCCAAACTAACTCTCTTTCTCTCTCTCTCTCCAGCAAAGGCAAACTGTCTACTAAGCCAGAATTAGAACCCACATTTCTATGGCTTAGTTCAGTGTTTGTTCATCAGGAACGAATAGACCTTCGACTCCTGCACTTTGCCCAGCAGTGGCTGGACTGTCACCCCTCTCTTCTGAGGGAAGAGAAGAGCCAACCTGAGGGCTGACTGAAGTCACTTATGAAAAGCAAAAGGTGACTATTCTTGGCTATTTAATGAGCCATGAAATAGTTCATGGCTCATTAAATAATTACTACTTCAAAAGAAGTAGTAATTCGAGATACCTCCTGTTCGCATAGTCTACAAACCTTTTACATGCACCATTTCATTTAGCACACGCTTTCACCCTGCGTGGTACATACAAAAATCACCCCTCGTTCATCGTTGAGGATACTGAGGATCGTGACAGTTGAGAAACTGTCTCATGCACAAACATGCAATCTGTGGAGGAGGGAATGTATTCTGACTCTAATTCTTTTCTTTTTAAAAAAAATAATTATTTATTTAACTTTATTTATTTATTTATTTTCATTTGACCAGAGCTGGACAGAAAGAGAGGGAGGAAGTGAGAAAGCAAGCCACCAGGTCCGGGACTCAAACTGCCGTCGGCCATGTGGGAGTCCAGCGCCCTTAACCACCCCGCCACTTGCCAGTCATTTGACTCTAGTTCTATTTCTGCTAACTGGGTTTCTTCTGTCCCTTTCCTTTATTTTTTTTCTTTCTTTTCTAAAATACAATTTGAAATTCACCTTTGTTTCATATCTATTCACATTTACTGTGTTATCTTCTGTATTTGGAAACATTCTGGTAATCTTAATCTATGCTTTTTTAAAAAGAATTATTTAATTATATTTATTATTATTATTTTCTAATTTTCCATAGGGCATGTGCACTCACCAGAGGGAGAGAGAGGGAAAGTGAGAAAGCAAGCCTCCAGGTCTGGGACTTGAACCGTGGTTAGCCAAGTGGGAGTCCAGTGACCTAACGATGAAGCCACCTGCTGGTTCCTTTAATCTACGCTTTTAATCTACTATGCTGCTTAGTTGTTTGTCTATGTGTTATTTTCTGCTTTTTTGTTATTAAGTTAGATTAGATTTTCATTTTTTAAATTTCGCCTCCATGTGTTTGAAATATAAACTGTCTATATCAGCTCTGTGTTCCTCTGAAAATTTAATACGAGGAGTTTCACATGTGGTCAGGAGAAGCCCTTCCAGCCAATTCTGCTTTCTGCAGATGTGAATAATTCCTTGTTTTCGATCCAAAGTGTATCCCAGACCTTCTCTTCCTGCCCCAGCAGTGAGCCCTGCCGTCTAGAAGCCTGGGCCCAGGTGCTCGGTGCGTTCACCACCCCCGAGGTTTATTACTGCTGGTGCTTTCAGCGCAAGTGCTAAGGGCGTTTTCTAGGTTTCCTCCAAAACCTCCAGGTCAGACCCGAAACCACGGCACTCCTTCTTACCTCTGTCGTCCCAGGTCTGCGTCTCCCTTCTCTGGTGAGAACCCAGGTCTCCAGCCATGCCATCGTGTTACTCAATCAGTCCTACCCGAGACAAAAGAAGTGTCAGGGTTATTTTAACGATGCCACGCTCTCAGTGGAGTGACCAAGTTCAGCATTTCTTTGGACCGCATTCTACCAGCAATATATAGTTAGATCACTAATTCGAAAATGACTTGAATTCATTTTTTAATTGTAGGTATGTGATGTGGCCATCAATTCAATTTGAACCTCAGTTCTTTACTCTGTATTTTAATTTTAGAGTTTACTTCTTACTGTTTTTATTAAATGTTAATTTTTAATATATACGGCATTTAGATGTACCAAAAGTCAAAATTAGGCCCAGCTGTGGTGGTGTGCGCAGGTATGACACTGGCCTTAAAAAAAGTAAAAAAAAATTAAGATTCTCAGCTTTCTTATTGTCAAGTCTATTGCTTCCACAATATTGTCATCAATTCCTTATATTTTATTAGATTTGGGTTTATGTCATTCTTATTTCCTCCTCTTTTGCTGAAATAAAATATAAAATACTTACACTTTCTTTTGCAGTTGTCTTTTTCTTTAAACAGTAGATCTCTGTGGGGGTGGGGGCAGATGGCACTGTGGCGGTAAAATGAAAATGTGATGCTCAGGACCAGAAGTTGGCATAATGGCTATGTCACTGGACTCCCAAGTAGTTGACTGTGGTTCGAGCACCAGACCGGGTGGCTTAAACTCACTCCGGGCGTGTGTGTGTGTGCACCAAGATCCTGAGAGGGGAATGGAGGAGAAGGGATTGTGGCATGGCTATTCCCCCCCTCCCCCGGGGGGTCATTTTTCACTTTCTGTCTCTCTGTCTCTCTGTCTTTCTGGTGAGCACATGTGCCCTATAGCAAAAACCTCTCCAAAAAAAAAAAACACAAAACAACAAAAAAATAAAAACAAACTTACAAACATGGTTCTCTTCAAAGCTATCCCACATGAAAAGGTTCCTGGTTCGAGTCTGGACCTCTCTGAGGATCCTGAGCACACCTCGGCCGTGATCCGGGGACGCCAAGGCCAGGGCTGAGTCATGGCCTTGCAGCCCTGCTGGGTACCTCCTCTCCCTCTCCCGGTTTCTGTAGCTCATGGGCCAAATAAATAAGTCAACTTAAAAAATAAAATAGTGGATCTTTGAATTCTCTCTATATCAGTCAGCAGAGATCTTTTTATTTTTAAGCAGAATGTACTAGTGTACTATACATAGCTTATCCAATCAGAGCTGGGTAATAGTGTGCATTACTTCGCTGTTACAGGAACCGGTGCAACGGTAGCCATAGCATTTGTCGGTTAATATTCGAGGAGGTACATGTCCACATGAACTCTTAGAAATGAGATTGCTCAGTCAAACGCACATACAATTTTGTTAGGTGTGGCCAGATTGTCTTGTTTAATGTTGTAACATGTTGTTCTGGCCAAGAGAATGTAGTATTAAACATTGAATGTTTAAAAGTCTAACAGGTAAGAAATCGTGCATGTGTGTGCGTGCATGTGCATGTGTGTGCGTGCACGTGCATGTGAGAAGGAGAGGGGGAAGTACCCCTGACAGGTTCTCATCTTGCCACAATCCCCTTCCCCCAGATCTCCACCTCTCCAGGATTCTGGGTTCCCGGTGCGTACTCAGCACATCTTCAATCTGCCCTGGGGATCCAAACCCATGGTCGGCCACAGGCTTCCAGCCTCCCCGGGCACATACATTACCACCAGAGTGGCTGGGCAGTTTTGTTGTTACGTTTATTCATGACATATGTAGAAAGAAGCACCCTTGACAGGGCATGGCATGTCCTGGTTCCCTTCCTCCAGGCTTCCAGCTCTTCAAGCTCCTGGGTGCACCCAGCACAAGTCCTCACCGTGATTTAATACCCTGTAACCTATTAACTCAGTTTTAAATTTCAAGTGAATTTTAAAATTCGCAGCCACCTACACTTACTCTACACAAAGAATAAGCGAAAGGAAGTAGGAAAACCCAGAAAAATGAGAACACCCCGGTGTGTCTTCCCGCAGCTCGTTATCTGTCTGCCAACGTTACGGTCCCCCACCCATCACGGATCTCGTCTTCCTCTTCTCTATCCACTTAGCTACAGTTTCCACACGCAAATGTAGCCGGGTCGTAACACACTTCAGGCTCCGGTTTCCCCGAGAGTCGGTCGTCTGCAGTTACCTCTGGTACCAGTTCTAGGACGAAGGGTCCAGGGTCGGGTGAAGAAGTACTGTTCTCCCTATCTACCCATCCGTCCCCGCAGCCGGGAGGCCTGAGGAGCGCCCTCCTGGGCCCAAGGCTAGCTGCCAGGGGAAAAGGCGACACAGGACGGGGCAGTTTTCAGGCTCCGGTTTCCCCGAGAGTCGGTCGTCTGCAGTTACCTCTGGTACCAGTTCTAGGACGAAGGGTCCAGGGTCGGGTGAAGAAGTACTGTTCTCCCTATCTACCCATCCGCCCCCGCAGCCGGGAGGCCTGAGGAGCGCCCTCCTGGGCCCAAGGCTAGCTGCCAGGGGAAAAGGCGACACAGGACGGGGCAGTTGCTCACAGAGTGAGAAGGCAACTGCGGCTGTCTCCCCCCTGCCACGTCGGAGAACTGCCCCTGCCTCTGCACTCGCTCTGAGGCCGTCCTTCCTGTGTCTGTCGCCCTTTCGCTGGGGTACTGTCCCTTGTCTGCAGTCGCTGGTGCCGGTTGACTGTGCTCTGGGCTGGACCGCAGAGGGCTGGAGTTCTCTTCCCCCCTAGGAGCTGCAGGTCTGGGTTCCGCGAGTGATTTTGTTGGGAGGTGGGGCCCGAACGCTTTCATTTGGGGACTGGTGTGAGTGCCTGGGGCCACAAGCCAGTCTGTCCAGGCTGTGGAACAAAGCGCCATAGAGTGACTTGGAAACAGCAGACGTTGGCTGTTCGGTTCTGGAGCTGGGAAGTCCGAGGTCACGGAGGGCGCCGGCAGATGGGGCCGGGTGAGCCCTCTCTGCTTCAGGGATGGCCCCTCGTGCTGCAGCCTCCCACCGTGATGGGCGACCCAGCAGGCGCCTTTCTGGGGGACACTCATCCCATTCATGAGGGAGGAGGCCACCTGCTCCTCCCTCCGCACTGGCCTTGGGTTCCCCTGGTTTGGATGGGTGCTGGGGCCTGCCTTTCTCCCCCGGAGCCGCGCTGCCAACTCCAGGGTGTCCCGCTTGGCCTGCCGCTGTCCTGAGTCGCCTGGCTGACTTCACCGGGCACCCCGAAGCACCCTGGGCTCTTGCAAGGCCTGGGAGTGCCCCGGCAGCCGCCCCTGCGGTGTCCTCAGCGGCTGTCCCACACACTCTGTAACCACAGCTCCCTCCGCAGTTCTGCGCTCACCAGCTTCTCCGGAGAAGGGGTGTTTTTAGACGTTTTCCAGTCAGTCCAGAGTCCTATGTAATGACCTGACTGTTGAACAGATGTTCCTTATATCACTTTCAGAGACTGGAATTGAGTAGGGAGATACCTAGCCCGAGTCTGGCCTCTCGGAAGCTCTTTCGCTGGCTTCCGTCCGCTCACTCCTGCGTCCACCTGTTCCCTCATCTATCGACAATCGGTTGCTGCTGTTTGCAATGATTGTTCTAGAATCTGAGGAGTAGTAAGGGTTCATCAGTCCCCACAGTTCAGTGGGAATGACAGGAATTATAGCACCGGCCGACAGGTGTTGTATACGCAAAGGATTCTTGAGAATTTAGAAGGGAAGAGCCATTTGGAAGAACACAGTAGTGTGAGTTTCCCAGTTCTGGAACTTTCTACAGTCTGTAAGATAACTTAGCCACACACGCTTTATATTATTTTTTAATCTTTCCACTTTTTACTGATTCTTATGTCTCAAAATAAATACCATTTTAGAAAACACTTCCGTGACTCTTTTAGGTAAATTAAGGTTCCTCGAGAGTTTGGCAGCACCTGCTCTTTGTCTTCACAGTCCTTAACAGTGTCACCTTTTAAATAGCTATCATGGAGACATTCCTCTGCCTTCTCTGCCCCTACATTGTAACTGCCTGTGCATAACAATAGCATCTGCTTAAACAAGGCCAGGTACTCAGCCAGCTATGCAGAGGAGAGCTCTAGCCATAAATGTTTAATGTTGAATAAATGAGCTCGCTTTAGGTGCTGTAGAGACGAGGATGTTCACAGAGAACATTTAGTCGGCTTATCGGCGAATCTGGTACCAAAAGCACGTCCTGTTTCTCAGCTGCAAATGCGAGTAGGCTACATCCACTCAGTCTTGTTCTCACACACGTGATTAGTGTAAGACGAGGGTGAAGTCTCTTTCCTTTTTCCTGCTCTCCGGGTCCTCTTCACCTGGCTGAGTAGAATAGGTAGTCTCAGCTTTTTCTGAAATCGGCCAGCCTCATGCTGGCCGGTAAACAGCCTCCCGCAAGGGAGTGGATCGAGGTTCCTTCGCACGCTGCTGTCAGCGGGTGGTATCACTTCTCAAAGGAATTGCCGCTGTTATGGATGGGTCATGGTTTGATTCCCCGGGGTTCATGTTTTGGAATTCGGTGCCCAGGATAATGGTCTGGGGAGCTGATGAGGCCTTTAAGAGCTGAGGCGTAGTGGGTGGTGAGCGGACCCTGGAAGCATCGCCCTGTGTACGTAGTAATGATGTCCCTGGAGACCAGTGAGTTCCAGCTCTCACGAGAAGGGGTTCGTCCTGTGAGAGCAGATGACGAAGAGAGGAGAGGGCGCCTCCCAGTCCTTCCAGGCGAGCCACCGTCCTCCCCCCTCTGTGGGTTACGTGATGCCCACGTGTTTGTATTCCTAGCAGCTGGAATCAGGAGCCACATCCAGTTCTGTTCGTTATGAGCCACCCTGTCTCAGCTGGTTCTGCTAGCTCTGATACTGGATGGAGACACCCAGTCCACAGAAACCACAGGGCAAGTCTTCAGAGGTAACATTGGTCTGAAAGTGGGAGGCGTGGTACTAAATATTGGGGTATTTATCAAATTGATTTATATTTGAGTGACATGCTTCTCTAGGTAAAACCTTCCATTATGTTTTCTTATTTAGCATTATATTAAAAGTGTAGATTACAAATCAATTGAACTCACTGAGAAGGAATCTAATTTCATTTCATTTCTTTTTTTTTTTTTTTTCTTTTTGAGAGGTTTGTGCTATAGGGCGTGTGCGCTCACCAGACAGAGAGAGACAGAGAGACAGAAAGCGAGAAGTCACCCCCCCCCAGGGGGGGATGGCCACACCACCATCCTTTCTCCTCCATTCTCCTCTCGGGATCTTGGGCA